CAAACGATAAAACAATTTCAAACGTTAACATGAATTGACGTAAAATGTTAAGTACATCAAAATAAAATCAGATTGAGAGACAAAATCACATTTGCCCGGTGGATTTTCAATGACAGAATGATTATTATTTTTTGTATAGGTATACGTCTTTTGTGTTAGGAAAATCCTAAGTAACCAAAACGTTAGCCTATGCATAGGCTATGTTTATTTTATCTTGACGGTTATAAGTCGTTCTCCTTGCCATAGGTCTTTAAACGTACATAACTATGTACATACATGTTCATTTAATGTTAGGTACGTAAAAAGCGTCCACCTTACAGAAATTCCAGTAAGAGTGGCAAACAAGCATACCGTCCATCAGATGGTAAGTAGATGCTGTGGTCCATAGATACCACCATTATTTACTTACATTTATCCTTGGTTAAGAATTAAAAATGCAGGTGCGTTGTCACCTCTGATGACTGAGATAGATTATCTCGTTATCAGTAAAAAGGATTTCCGATTGTCACACTCATCCATACGAAACCCAGCAGCATTAAGCTGCTCTTTACGCTAACTACCATTTCATTTTGATATTTCTGTGATCGTGCCAACCAATTCTCAACTCATAAAACAGCTGCAGCGTGGCTCTACCATGTAACAAAAAAAAATCTTCGCGTAACAACAGCCTAGTCGGTAAGATTTTTATTTTTATTTTTTTTAGTTTCCAATCATCAGATGGACTGTCAGGTCATTTCCTACTAAGGATATTATAATTTAAAATCCCCTTTTAAAATTCATGGTTTCTTAATCAATGTAAACCAAATCACATCTATATTTCACTTTTGAACGCGAATTCGTATCAATTTTTAGTAAGTTAATTTTTAACATAAATTTTTAAAAATTTTGCCCCTATGAAAAAAAAACGAAAAAAGGTTACCACTATAAGTTTGCTTTATGAAAACCTTTGCGCATTTTTTTACGTGGTAGAGCTACGCTACAGCTATACTTGGATTATAGTTATAGCATTAATGGGTCGGTTCGACCGGGGCAGGACCAGGCTCTCACAGAATACCAGCGTAAAATAGCAGCGTAATGCTGCTGTGTTTATTATGATGAGTGTAAAGAACCGGAAACCCTTTTTACTGGAATCGAGGCATTCCATCTTCTCAGGGACACGACTACATTCTTAGTTGGAGAGAAATGTCTATGGACCACAGCATCCACTTACAATCAGGTGTAATGTGTGTGCTCGTTTGTCATCCAATACTATAAAAACCAACAATGAGAATAATTAACCAACTGATTTAAACCGAACTAAAACGGGTTAGTGGAACGAACACTAACCTTGACATCAGTGGGTTATTTGTTAATCTTACAATCGTATGGAAAAACTAATCGATTGTCCGAGTGAAGGTTGGAAAATATTTCGAACGAAATCAAAAATTACACCAAGTTAATATGCATAAGAAATTGTAAATGAATTGCTTTTATTAATTAATTACATTCCAGGCGAGGATGGAATTACAGCGGAGCTTCTGAAAGCGAGTGGAACACCGATACTTGAAGTCCTTCAGAAGCTCTTCAATTCCGTCCTCCATAGTGGCACTACTCCGGAGGCGTGGAGCAAAAGTGCGGTGGTCTTGTTCTTTAAGAAAGGCGACAACGCTCTCTTGAAGAACTACAGACCGATTTCCCTTCTGAGCCGCGTGCTGTTTTCGAGAGTCATTACGAATCGTCTCGCACGCAGACTCGACGACTTCCAGCCTCCCGTACAAGCCGGTTTCCGAAAAGGCTTCAGTACCATAGACCACATACATACCCTGCGGCAGATTGTACAGAAGACCGAAGAGTACAATATGCCACTTTGCTTGGCGTATGTGGACTATGAGAAAGCCTTTGATTCCGTCGAAATTTGGGCGGTGCTACAGTCCCTTCAGCGGTACCAAGTTGACTGTCGGTATATCGAAGTGCTGAAGTGTTTGTACAGTAGGGCTACGATGGCTATCCGAGTACAGAACCAGAGTTCGAAACCTATCCAACTGCAGAGAGGTGTAAGACAGGGTGACGTTATATCCCCGAAACTCTTCACCGCTGCGTTGGAAGACGTTTTCAAGCTACTGGACTGGAAAGGATACGGTATTAACATCAATGGCGAGTACATCACTCACCTTCGATTTGCCGACGCTTAGTCTTTATGGCAGAATCGCTGGAGGACCTTAGCACTATGCTCAATGTCCTCAATGGTGTCTCCCAACGGATAGGTCTTAAGATGAACATGGACAAAACAAAGATCATGTTTAATGTCCATGTCACACCTATGCCGGTAGTTGTTGGGAGCACCATGCTCGAAGTTGTTGACGGGGTACGTTTACCTGGGACAAATAGTCCGACTAGGTAAATCCAATTTGACGGAAAGTAGGTATTCAGAGAACTATATAAGGAGAGGGTCTCGGGTTTTGATGAGGTTATCCGCAGTAAAACCAGAGGGACCGACATAGCCCAACGGATTAGTAAGCTGAAGTGGCAATGGGCCGGCCATATAGCTCGAAGAACCGATAACTGATGGGGAAGAAAGGTTCTCGAGTGGCAGCCTCGTACCTGTAGGCGTAGTGTAGGGCGACCCCCACTAGATGGAGTGACGACCTGGTAAGACATGCAGGAAGTCGATGGATGCAGGTGGCTCAGGACCGTGCTTTGTGGCATTACTTGGGGGAGACCTATGTTCAGCAGTGGACTTGTGAAGGGCTGTAATGATGATGATGATGATGAATTAATTACATTTGGACGTGATATAGCTACGCTGCAGCTATATTATACTTGTAGCACGAATGGGTCGCTCGACCGGGACCACTGCTGCTGCGTTTCGTATGGTGAGCTAAGAGAATCGCAGATCCTTTTTACTGGATAGGAGGCATTCCGTCTTAGTCCTTAGGAGACAACGCATCTGCAATTGGATTCTTAACAAGTTAAATAAAGATTTAAAAGATTTATACGTGGTAGAGCCACGCTGGATTATGGTTGTAGCACAAATGGGTCGGCTCGACCAGGGAAGGACCACGCTCTCACAAAATACCAGCTTAACACTGCTGTGTTTCGTATGGTGAGTGTAGAGATCCGGAAAACCGTTTTGCTGGAAATGAGGCATTCCATTTTAGTCCTCAGGGGTGACAACGTATCTGCATTTTGATTCTTAATTGGGGATAAATGTAGATTTCTATAGACCACAGCATCTATTTACCATGTAGTGGACTGTGTACTCGTTTGTTACCCTTATTCTATAAAAAAGACAAAGATAAAGATGCCTATAGACACAGCATTCACTTACCATCAGATGGACTGTTTGCTCGTTTGTCACCCTTAAAAAAAGGAGAAATATCTAGACTTTATTTACCACTAGTTGTAAATGACAAATATATAGTCAGTAAACAATAACATTAACAATGATCCGTGTATCGAATAAGTAATTGTAAAAATGGTGTTAATAACATATAAGTGGTCGGTGCTCTATGACCTAGAACTTGACGGCAAGCGAGCTAAGAGACTGGTTTGATGAGTCATATCTCAGCCGCCGATTTCTGAGAAACAGTGTTATTTTATAAGTGTTTCCTCCCGAACCACAGTACATACGGACATGCCTACCTTCGCTGATTAGTCATGAGATTGTTGGTGACCAATTTATATAATCTTTCCGGATATCGTATCCGGTAATTCGATATGATCAATGACATAATGAAAATAGTTTTGCAGTTAGTTATATCTAACTAACCATACTAATATATAATAAAGTAGCTAACCAATACTTATACAATTAAAACTCGTATTCTAGCTACATAACATATCCAAAAAAAAAATTACAAAAAAAATATTTGAATGCAGATAATAAAGGCACCAATATATTATGATCAAATAGAACTAACGAAATGACGTTTTTTTTTCAATTTGCCATAAAATATATTAATATTTCCTTTATATGTATTTTCTTTATATTATAGGTAGGTTCACGTGGAACACAAAGGGCTTTGGACTGTGGTCATAATGTATGTATCCACTGAATCATAAAGCAAATGTTCGTATTTAATTACTACTGTAAAAATGACGCAACGGTCATTGAAAATATATACCTCTAATGACCAACACCGATCAATATAACATGCTAAACATTATGACTCAGATTCATGTATAATGCTTACGATATGAAAAGAGGAACAGATGTTGGTGAACTGATGTAGATTGCGAGCATTTTATTTCGGCCGGTTGAGTTTCTATTTCTGAATGAACGGAGTTTTACTATAACGGTCGTGAGGGGCTACTACAGAATCATTCAGATACAATATAACATAATTTAGAGGCGCCCGATGAGCGGAGTTCTCAGAACTAAATGAATCAGTGGTGACGAACGAGATTACTTCCGATCTTGGTTATGATAATTGATATCGGTATTTATCGTGTTCGATGTGGAATTCAACCGGAAGCTAATAAATTCTTATTAAACTTTTTAATAATTTTACACCACATGTTACTAAAATACGAAAAAGAAAGAAAGAAGCCTTTTATATTGTGATAACTGCAAAAACAAAAAAATTAAACAATCTTGGAATGAGAGATTTTTCTTAGAAACTTTGCAAAATGTACTTCTAAAATTAAAATCAAATTAATATCACTTTATTGCCATATTATGAAAACATTTTCGAAGTAATAAACACGTAATGTGTAATCACTAATAAAATTTAGGCAATCGTAGGCAATTAAGTTTCTGCTGACGCGGGAGAACGATCCCATGTAGCGCTGGTTTTTAGGAATTTTTCCGGAGCTGTTTGTTGCTTGTACTGGAGTCGAGAAAATTGCGGATTAAACAAAACTGATTTTAGAAGATACGTTAATAAGTTTTAATAGATGATTTTCATAAAAATTCAATATTAAAGTTGCACATTGTACTGTATAAAATATGCAAAATGTACGAAAATATACAAATATTTTCTGTATCTTTAATTAAACATCATGTAAAGATAAATACTTACCATGGCCTTATCCGTATCGGTAAAAGTTGGAGCAGCGCTGCTTTTCGTCAGAAATACAAATGCCGCCGCCATCGTCCACAATATCCTTAAACTGCTTCTTAAGCTAACGAACGCCATGCTGTTTGTTATGTCTTCTCTTATATTACTAAGTGAGCTCATTTATTTGTGCTTTTTCAAATTGTAAAAAATTATGTTTATATTCTCAATATGGACGGAATTTCATTCCCCTTAAAATTACAATTATTCTATAAAACAATTATTTATTTATTGCTTTCGTCGATATGTTTGAGTGCGAGTTGAGTTGATCTGTAACAAAATGAAAAAAATATGAAATTAAATTAACCATTATCTGCTGTTATTTACCATAACTAATTAATGAACATATTCTAGCATTTACGCATCTGCTTTGATATAATAGGAATGATAGAACTGTAGATATTAACTATCGCAACGCGGTAGGGATTCCTTCGTTCGTCCTTTAATTTGAGTTTGTCAGAGTCAATGTTAGACTCTTTGATACGTGGTAGAGCTACGCACTCTCGACCGTGGAGGGACCACACTCTTACAGAATACCAACGTGAAATAGCAGCTTATTGCTGCTGTGTTTCGTATGGTGAGTGTAGAGAACCGGAGACCCTTTTGACTGGAAACGAGGCATTTCATCTTAGTCTTCAAGAATGACAACACATCTGCAATTTGATTACTTATGGAGACTAGATGTAGATGTCTATAGGCCGCAATGTCCACTTACTATCAAGTAGACTGTGTGCTCATTTGTAAAACAACTCTCTAGTTTACTATATAATATACCGACGATGTATAGATAGCAATATAATTTTGTGTTCCCATGTTAAGGTACAGTTTGATTCCGGCAGTTAGGCATTCTATCTTAGAGGTATTTTTCCGGACCGATGCAACTTAAGGGCGCTCAAGTTTTCTTGATTTTCTTCATTCAACGACGCAAATTGGCGGCATATTGGGGAACTGCAGATGCGTTGCCAGTCTTTTGAAAAGGAGTAGGCTCTTTTGAGCCTCTATTTTAAAAGGCCTGGACATGGACGGCGGTAATCACTTACTATCGGGTGAGCCGTATGCTCGTTTGCCCCTCTCCTATAAAAAGAGGTAACAGTTTATCCGCGTTAATGTTGCAATTGTCATTTAGTGAACTATGAACTAGATGATCACTTGACTGATTACAAACTCTCAAACGTCCACTGCTGAATATACGCCTTCCCCATAGAATGTCATAGTTACCACGCTCGCCACGCGTGATGGCTGCCGCAGCCCCCATCTTCTGCTTTATTTCCATCTGTCACCCCTGTCTTAAGCTGCCGTTCCATGACGTATATATGTCGCAGGTGTTTGATAAAGTCAGGTTCTTGATCAAAAACCTAAGCTTTTGATCAAGAACCGGAAGAAGACAAAATTATTACTTTATGTTATCATAAACCTGAACAAATTCAGTTTTTTTTTAATCGAAAACCTAAACCGATTTAGTTTTATAATAAAATAAATTAAATAACCTAACCTTTTTTACATGGGAAAATGCGTAGGCATACCTACCTCGTGGGGGCAAGGACATGTTACGTCGAACTTGCACCGACTAAAACCTCATGGTATTGCACTTTCGCCGTAATTTGGTGGCATATTGGTGGAGCCGAGGGAATGCTTTTGCGTACACCCGCAGCCCCCACCAGCGCCGGCCACCTTACGCCTCATGGCAGCACCTCCTCGAGGGAGGACATCTTCTCCCCCTTTTCCTTCCCAGGTAAGGCGCACCAGAAACAGTAGCAGTAGGGGGAGAGGACACCACTTTCGCCGCAGCCCATCAACACACGTCCGAAGTGGGCTCGCCAAGCCCACTCGGAGTGGCCACCCCGAGCCGTACCTATTTTAGAGCCAGCTAAGTGGGTTCCTCATTGTTTAACGCGGGTGACCAAGCCACGGCTACTAAGACCCCCTGCCACGAAAAGGCGGCAACCCGTTCGAAGATAATACAGATAACACGTGATTCAGCTCTGCAGTGCTGATATTTGAACGAAACATTTTATTATTTGGCTTTAACGAGACTTAGTTGAGTTAAAGTGATAACAGATAGCAACATAATCTCCCGCGATACTTTAACACTAAATACAGCTTATATAGATGTGATTCATCTGCGTGTGTTTACATAATTAAACAATTGACATATACATAAGCAAGCGCTATGAATAGAAATATATGAGGCAGTATATGGGGAAGCCAATGTTCAGTTTAGTAGACATTTCGTAGGCCCTATGTGTAACCGAAAACACATACATTGGGTGCGTTTGGCAGAAAAAAGCGCTAGCAAACGCTTGTAAGCAAAATGGCGATCGTAAGCGGTAAGCGCTGTCAAATCGTAAGTAGCTATTTTCCTCTAGGACACGATGTTAGTTTTAACCGGGGAACCTAACCTAATTTAAATATATGTTTGTGAAGTATTCATATTAAAAACTTACCAATCATGAATTTTTAATAACATGTAATATGTCTATTCATGTCATTATATTACTTAAAACTAATATTGCAAAAAAAAAACAACTAAACTCTACTTCAAAACAAACAAATTAAATAAGCAAAATGGCGGATTGTGTCAGCGCTACTGAAGTAGCAATCGTGTCCTGGCCGAAAACTATTTTAGCGCTAGTAAGCGCTTGCTAGCGCTTTTTTCTGCCAAACGCACCCATTCTTAATAAACTTCCTGTTTATCCGTCATTGACCAAAATCATAAACTTGGAGAATTGTATATAGTAAATATCAAAATAAACTATTTTTAGCACTGGCTAACCTCGCAACATAAAATATTTATGTCCACAAATAATTGTTTCTGGTGTGGATGCTTATTGATGTGCAATCAATGTATTTGAAATACGCTTGTCTATACAGGAGAAAGGGGAGTGGGAAACTTATACTTAAATTATTTAAATACTGAAACAATTATCCATCCAAAAACCTTAACTATGTTCAAATATTTGTCTGTGACAATAGGGGATTTTGCTTGTTTGATAAATGATTAACAGATATCTTGTTACAATTGAGGAAAATTTATTTTTCTATAAATTTCATCTTTAAGCACTTAACAGTTTACTAGCTTATTGTAGATAGATGAATTAACAATTTTGCAATAAATATAGCACCTAATGCTTACATCGCCACTTCGTCTCGAATACACTTCATATCAAAAGTTTTTTCACTCGGTTGACCTAGATCCGTCGATATGAACAAGTGATGTGGGCTTGTCATCAAACATTATAATCAATGAACAAAGATAAATTGTTTCATTATAATTAATCGCTGTTTATTTAATGACTTAAAATATTTCGATTTATTAACTTCTTCGATTTATTAAAATCTTAAGTATATATTTGCGGGAAAATTTATTTAAAATTCACACACACAAATTACCGTTACAGTCTATAAAAGTCCACTGCTGAACAAAGTCTTCTCCCATAGACTGCCTCGTAAGTGGGATGGATATTTGCTATTGTTGCAAGCGGGTTGACAACCGTAGCTATTTTATTTTTAATCATTATTAAGAACCCGTCTCCCGCCTGTTTCCCTCTGCCGCCTCTTACGACATCCACGGGATGATATGGGGTAGTGGACACTCAAACCCCCACTAGATGGTCCAGAAATTAATAGAAATGAAAATTACATACGCGTACAAAATACAGCCTTCTCGATTTTGACTTTGTACGTCGAAAAGTAGGTCAAAAATGGTCATCTTGCATCATGAGTTGTGGTAGAACCACAACACTTATTTTCAGTAATAAAAAATAACGAAACCAAACCTAGTATAATCTTTTACGAATAAAAATTAATCATTCTTCACTAGTAACTGTATCAAGCCAGAAGTGCGTAGCGTACGACATACCTAGACGGATTCATAAGCAGAGATGGAGGATGCTAAATTCCCCTGAATTCATTTAGTTCAGTTTAATTATAGGTTAGGTTCTGTTAGCGTGAAGTTTCAATTAATTAGAAATATAAACTTAATCGTATTTTGCTAAAACGAACTCACGGTCCAGCTAGACCACTGACGAGAAGTAGTGTGAAAGATGCAATTTAGACAATAAAAAATTTCTCATAAGAGAAGTAGTGTGAAAGATGCAAGACCTGTTAGGTATAATAATGTTCTCCAGGTGGAACTTCAGTCACGGAGGCCAGCCAGCTCAATGGAGACTAGCTATCGACGCAGGATACGGATGTAGTGTTCAAGTGTATGCGCAAACACAGGTGCATTCTCTATTCACTCATTCCTATAGTTCGAAGGGACAGTAAACTAATACGACCTGAGAAGGTTAGGTGGAGGACCAACGGCTTTACGTGTTTTCCGAGGCACTGTGGTGAGATTTATAGACGGAAAACTCAATAAACTGACTTTTTAGCCCGACCCGGAATTCGGGACCTCATGATCAGCAGTCGCACTACTACAACCACTAGACCAACGAGGTAGTCAAAGTGTTAGGTATACTGAGGTTGCCTATCCGTCTGTCAAGCGTGGTTATAACGGTAGTTCGTAATTACTGCATAAAAGACTTATGAAGAACGATAAACTATTGGCTGCTGAAAAGAAGGAGTTTTCTTAAAACATTCGACGAAATCTTACTAACCAAACATTTGAAATGAATTGCAGAAAAAATCACTCAACAAAATCAATAAACCGTTACCAAGGTTGTTTTTTGTGTCTCCAGACTTTACAACAGCAAATTAACGTTAGAGCAAACCGTCGGCTAAAGCAAATTTGAATATCTTTGACACCTAATTTTCTAACTAATACTACATTGAAACGATTAAGGGGAAAATTCGTTAGGCTTTATCTAATAAAAACGGTTATTGATCAGAATACTTGACTACTAAGTCGCAGTTCTGTATGGTGTTCCCCATAGCCAACATTATAGCGACATAAGTTGTTTTATTAAGACCAAAAAAGTAATAATTGCAAGAAAATAAGATCTTAAAGCTTCCACGATTTTATGTTACCTCTTTTGTAATATTTCAATAATAATTGTTAATTGAATACGAAATGGAATCATCAATCAGAGGTCATAACAGAAAGTGCAAATCAAAGAGAGGTGTCGCCAACAATGTTCCACTCACCAGAGCGTGACCGGCAGTTTCACCGACGGCATTGGCTT